AAATCACCCACTGGATGCCTTATCTCAGAATACACTTCTAATTTTTGGACTTAATATTTTATACTGTCGTGGGTATTCTATCTCGCAGCGTCTCGTAGATCTTCAAGGGAAGACGTTTGGTAGATTTCATCGGTGGTGGGAAGGTACCAACAGTGATGCAAAATATCATGACACTCACGTGACACTCGTCTTCGCATCAACCGACTATCGCTGACAGATCGTTTTGTCACGCAGTGATAAGTAGAGCCATGGCAAACAACAATCACCAGTAATGGTCGCTGCTCACAAGCAAAACGTTACACTCGCTGCTGATGATGAAAAGCACAACGAAAACAGTGAAGACTTCTGCAGTACGATCATGAGAAAAAGCGAAACGACAAAAGAAAATGAAAACAATGCCTGCGCATTCCAAGTTTGTCTCGGCAGGCGCGACTGTGTGAGTTACAAACAAAGCAGGCAACATGAAACGGAAGCTGTTGGCTCACTCACCAACACACTCACATAAGCAAGCAAATCAGCAACTGCTTCAAAACGAGCACAGATGAGTGTCGTGATTGTCGGGAATGACCAGATCGGTGATGGATCACAACAGAAGACGACATTCACCCGTTGCTTTTTACTTCTTTCGTCAACTTGATGGATGGTCATGGAGAGAGCTTCGACGAGCACATTGAAAGGAATGTACAAAGCGTTACTACCATCAGCTGTTTGGCGATCGTGATTGTGATAGGTCGCAACTTTGGGTACCAAAACTTAATCATATCGTAGGTTGGTAGGCTTGAAAGGTAGGCGATACGATAGGCTTGGATTATATCTTTGAGGACACGCACTTCTTAGTCGATCAGATGATTTAAAACTGGTTCGTTGGTGGGATTGAACTATCGCCCGTTCGAGCTATGGGTTTACTTTAGTCGAGGAGGGATTTCATTCATCATCGATCGGATTTCTCCTTTGTTTCTGTACACCTGCAAGGCATCAATAATTCAAAAAGACATCGTTTCAGAATAGCTCACAGAATATTGTGGACGGGTTGAATTTACATGGTCACCGTATTGGTTTGATCGTTTCCAGTTCCTCTTCCACCTCCCGACCCGCTAACGTTCTAATGAGAATGAAGGTGAATGCCTGCCATGATCCATCAGAGAAATTAAAATTGTTAACACAATCATAAACGATAAAATTTTCGGGGTTGCCAAACTCATGGAATATTGACACCTTGGTAGGCATACTTTGATTGTCCCATGATAGGCACGTTCGTCACAACGCTTGGCACAGCTTTCGGCACAACTCAATCACTCGGTTCGAATTAAGGTGTGCAGAGTTGAATACCCCTTGGATTTTTGGGTGTAAGGCTATGGCAGCCAGCAGAGGTGAAAAAATTTTTGTACCCCAAGAGTCGCGAGACGGTAATTATTGGATACGCTCCGCATTAATACCGGCTCTGGGACAGAGAAGCAAGACAAATAATGCTCGCAAGAGATGTGTAGTTCAATGAAGAATGGTTTCCATGTGCAGAGCAACTCGATGAAGCATCTCAAGTTCCCTTGATCTACACATTGCACGAGCCAGGGAGAGGCATCAAACAACCCTGTTGAAGATCTACCACGCGTTGAAGGTCTTGTTGGTAGGTCCGATGATGAAGCTTCTTACGAGGAATTGGAAGAGGGAGTAAATCCTGGGGCGCTCCCTTCGCAATAAAGAAGTGACGACTGTCAGGAGTCAACCAATAGGCACAGCGAATGGGAGCGCAGACTCCCAGGTAAGTTGCTAGATTTTCTAATCGAATTTAGAGCAACCTCTGTTGTTGGAATTTCTGATTCTCTAGATCCACCGTCACTGTCCATGATGAACTGGAATCGATGATAAGTAACCAGGTCCGACAGGAGTGAAACCTTTGCAACCAAAGTGGATATTCTGCGTTAAAGAAGATGCTGACGGAAATATTGTAAGACACACGGCTAGGTTGGTCGTGAAATCAGGAATATCTACTAACTACGACAGCACCTCGACAGCCAACTCTGATAAACAAATACTCTGCTACTAGGGAGGTCTCTTCTGGACTGTCCACTCCTCTTAATTAGTGGGTCCCTTCTGGCTCCCCACCGCTATTTCTGGATTCGCCAATATTCGTCAAGAGATGAACCAGCCTCTGAGTGAAAGTCTCGCTAATAAAGATAACCTAACCTAACCTAGGATGGTCGTGAAAGGGTTTCTCCAGAAACTTGGCCTCCATTATCACGAAACCTATGCACCAGTGGCCAAGCTGGCAACAATTAGGGTGGCTTTAGCTGTCGCGTTACAAAGAGGATGTGAAGACGCATGCATGGCGAGCTACAAGAAATAATCTACATGGCCATACCTAATGGTGTCAAAGCGGATCCTGGAACAGTTTGCCTGCTGCAAAAGTCCCCCAAGTGCTGGAACGAAAATTTGAATCACTTACTGTTGACGCTTGGGTTCAAGAGATCGCAGCATGACTATTTCTTGTATACCCGGATCGACGAGAGGGGAACGATGATGTCCACCTTGTCATATACGTCGATGACCTGCTGATCATGGGAGTGCAAATCAAGACAGTGGAAGAAGACACGAGGCAGTTATCGCAGTTCTTCAAGATGAGGGATTGTGGTGCATTACAATTTTTTTTGAATGAAAATCGTGTACGAGAGGACATCGGGAAAAATGCACTTATCGCAAGAAGCAAGCATTGAGAAGGTCTTGAAGGAATTCAATGTGAATGATTGCAACCCAACAAAAAACGCCCATGGAGAAAGGACGGCAGCTGATCCGTAGCAACAGTGAGGCAGGAATCGAGTGGTGAGGCACATGAAAGGTATAAAGAATATGTTTTTGGAATATCAAACACGTGACACGGATTTGGAGCCATTAGTTGGTTTTGCTGAGTTGGATCGAAAGTCGGTGAGTGGATTCTTATTCCAGGTTTATGGAAACACAGTCTCGTGGTCAAGCGAGAAGCAAACGACGGTGACCACATACTCCAGTGAAGCTGAATACGTAGCATTGAGCGCTGGTGTGGCAGAATCAATTTGGCTATCTGGACCTGGGTGTCGAGATATTAAAACCTGTGACCATAGGACCATAGGGATGGCCCAAAACCTGGAGTGCAAACGACCAAAACACATCGACATCAAACATCATCGCAGCCGGACGTCTACGGGTGGAACCTGTTAGGACAGCCAAAAAATTGGCAGATATTTTCACGAAAGCTTTGGACGTTGGAAGATTTGAAAGTCTACGCCTGGACTCCACAATCGAGAGGGGGTGAAGCAGTAGGCTTTTAAAAGCTCACAAACGCTTGTGGAAGATCGAAAGCTAGCATTTCCAAACTGGCTCGCAAGTTGAGAAGGGGTAAGTCACTCAGCATATTGTGCGAAATTAGTTTCGGCACAGCTTGGGTACATCCATCGGCACACCTTCGGCACAATCTTGTAGGCATTGGATTGTTGTAAATAAAATGGGAGCACTGCTGGACAACTGCCATTGAAGTTGTTCACAACATTATGGCTGTTTGACTGACTGAGGAACACAGACCAGCAGTTCAATTATCGATCTAAATACGAAATGTAGGTTCTAGAGTGGGCTCAAGAAAAAGAGGCTGTTAATTCAAATAATGCTGCAAATCACACAAAACAAACTAAAGAAGTCTATTCATCATCCTCTATATTCGGTCTCCTACAATGCTTCTCACCGGTTCCAACTCTTTCCGGCCGCTTATAGACCGATGCATTTCACATCACGAAAAGCTAGGTTTCTGGTCTGCCTTTGAGGGCATTATAAAACACTAAAACACAGGACTATGAACACAAAACACCAAAATTTCACACACTCGCCACTTCCCGCGTCATCCCCAATCCGATTTATCCTTGATTAAAAAACCCAAGGGAAACACCGGGTTGCCGGGATGGGTATTTTACAAACAATCGCAGCTTGCTCTATGACCGGCACAATCGACACACTTGCGGCACACTGACAAAAAAGATGACCCACGATTGGTGTGCGGAGTGACCTACCCCTTGAGAAGACCACATTTAGAACCTAACCACATTTAGTTACTCAAAAGTGAATACTTACTACTTATTTTTGTTGGTGTTAATTACTCATAAATGGTTAAAATTTTAAAACTTATTTAATGGGTAGCCTCAGTTTCCCTTGAAAATGCTTACTTTGTTTAACATAATTGGGTATTTTGCGGTTACCGTGTATGGATAAATCAAGAATTTGGAATGGTAATCCGTTTAAAAAGAACCACAGAGGATCATAAAATGTATTGTATTTACAACAAATCGTATTGTCCACAACGATAAAATAACCATAGTTTCCGCAATAGATTCCATGGTAAATGGGGAAATCAACAGTAGAACAAGGGGGTTGTTATGTAGCCTAACCATACAAAAAATCACTTTTTCCCGAACAAACTTGAGCCATTAAGCATGAATTTTATTGTTTTTCTATTGTTGAAAATTCATACTACATGGGACGTGTTGTAGATCAAATTGTAATAACTACATTTTAAATTTATCAATTCAGATGGATTATTGGCAATAGATTTTGTAGTGATTGTATTTTATTTTATGGTAATTGTATGGTTAATCTTTCCCGGGATGGTTTTTTTAAACATCCAGATAAAAAAGACTGTAATACGTAAGGTTAAAACTTTATCATGCAAGTTCATAACCAGTTTAGTTGAGGTTGATCATGAAAAACAAACCATTTTTGGTAAGGTTGTGGTTCACGGAGGTTATCTACTCTAAATGCATTATTTTTTTCTAACAGTGCATTGACCTCTAGCGCCCCGCCAGCTATTCGGTAAAATGGGCCTAATCCCTCAATTTTACCGAACATTTTTTAATGTTTTTCAGACAAAATTTCCAACAATTTCACGATTACCATTTCAACTGAATACGCATTTTAACACAAAAATACGACATCTCACATCAAAATGAACGTTTAAAATTTACGAAAATCCAAAATTAACCTACCTGTAGTAGTAAACATCCACCTTCCCAGCAGAGAGGCCGGACTTCCGCAGAACTTCCTCTCGCTGCCAACCCTTGGGCAGGGCGGCACAATCCGTGCGTTTCCTCTCGATCGATACATTCATAGTCACCGGCAAGGAAGCGAGAAACTCCACAAAATACTCTAATTTATCACAATTTTCAATAGAATTATAACAAAAAAGCTTGCACCAACTCGCGCGGCGACTCGCGTTTTGTTGATAAACCTTTTTTTTTTCGTGCGATTTGACAGCTTCCCAGTTTCGTTGGAAACGACAGTGCTGCCAAATCTCAACCTCAACCAACCAACACGTCAAATTGACAATCGTCTCGTCCTCGTCGCAAAAATGTTGCACAACCGACGTAAACATTGCAACTTCCAGTTCCAGAGTGCGCAGCGTTTGGCTTCAATTTGAGTAAAAACCGGATAGAAACACCGGTTTCCTGCCGATTCAACCATTCCGAATAAATGAAATAATGGAGCTCTACCTTTACCGAGGCGAATGGGGACTGCCCACCGTCGATTACGACTGTGCACGGCTGTTGGTAAGTGCTGGTCCCGAAGCTTTCCATTAAATTTTGATTGATCCATGCGCTTTCCAGGCTTACCTCAAATTTTCCGAAGCGAAAATCACACTCAACTTCAACGGCAATCCATTCAGCTCCCCGAACGGGATGCTACCGTACCTGGCCACAGAGGAGGGAAAGAAAATCGCCGGTTACAATAAGATAACGGAGTTCCTGCAGTCGCGGGGCTTCGACGCCAACGGTCAGCTGGAGGGACAGAACTACATTGTGATAAACGGTTGCATTCAATATGTGTTCGAGAACCTGTTCCCGTACTTTATGTACAGTCTGTGGGGCGACCCGAAGAATCTGGACACCACCAGGGCACTGTACGCCAAGCGGATTCCGATCCCGTTCAACTTCTACTGCCCGCGGAAGTATGTGCTGAAGACGAACGAACTGACGCTCTCGTTGGCCGGCTTTGCCCTGGAGGATTCAGTCGAGCTGCACGATGTCAACGATCTTATGCTCAATGCCAAAAAGTGCATTAACTGGATATCCGAGAAGCTCGGTGAGAATCGCTTCTTCTACGGTGACACGCCCAGCGAAATTGATGCCGTTCTCTATGGGTATCTTTCCGTGCTGCTGAAGCTCACCCTCCCGAACAATGTGCTGCAGAATCACGTGAAGCAGTGCAACAATCTAGTCAAGTTTGTCGAACGGATCACGACGATCTACTTCGCGCGGGAGGGTTTCAGCAGTGCCGGCAGCAATGGGTCCAGCGCATCGTCTTCGGACAATTCGTCCAAACCAAAGCAGGAGGGCGAGAAGTCCTACGACGGGACGCAGAAGGACGAAGACACGCCATACGACCGGAAGAAGCGCTACGTAGTGTCGGGCATCTTTGCGACCATAGCGATGGTTAGCTACGCGTTGGTGTCCGGGATTTTGACGGTATGTTTGCTTGTTTAGATTCGAATAGGATTAGTAAAAGTAGTGGATTTTTCCGTTTCCAGATTTCACAAAACGATCACGGTGGAGGCAATTTCATCTCATACGACGAACCCGAATACGATGATGAAGAATAGTGTGAGGAAGTTTCGTTGTACCGTCATGACATGAAAGAATAATAGCTCGAGTGTCTTCCGTGGGAGGTGCGAATTCGGCCGAGTTTAGTTATCTTAAACATATTTTATCTTCGAAATCCTTGTGGATCAAAACCATCAATTTGAATAGATTTTCGCTACGTTCCGCGGTAATTGTCGAACGTCGTGTGTTGGACTGAGCCAACTACTAGCATTGCGTTCTGCTATAGGCAACTTCCACCCATAATTTCGGCATAAAACATGTTCTGAAAATGAAGTAGCTTCCTCGCTTCTATTCGCTTATATTTTCCATCGAAACCAAACACTACACCAGTGATCACGCACCCCCTAGTGTTTATTCCGTTTGCTCCCCAGCGGTGGCGTCTGTAGATTGAATCCTCCACTTCCGAACGACGAGGCACCGGTATCGAAGGCCGTCTTGCCAAATCCGCTGCTGTCAGCGGCACCTGTCAGAGCGGAACCGAATGCGCCACTACTGGGCCCGGCCACACCCATCATCGAACCGGACGCCGATCCGAAACCGGAGCTTCGGGGCCAAAGCGTCGTTTCCTGGGCCGGTTTGGGAATGCCCACATTGACCGTTCCCATCAGTGGGGAAAACGGCGTTGGTCCGGTGGAAACGGAACCGGAAAACCGCACCTGGGTGGAGGAAGATTCACCGGCCGCCTGCGCTTCGAAGACGTTCGTGTTGTCACGCAGCAGATAGCGCCGTAGAATCATGTAACGCTCCTTTTGGGCTTCCACCTTCTGATGGGTCTCGTTCAACCGGCCGGCGAGGGCAACGAAGCTTTCGTGAATCTGCTGGAGACCTCGCTTGAGATCCATGGCCGTAAAGTGCTGCGGTACGGTGAGGGATTGCATGTGCTTCTCCGTGAGCTCAACCTAGAAAGATAAAACGGGTTCAAGATAAGCCTAGGACATCCCAATATACATACACTTCCTCACCTGTTGCTTCAGATTCAGCATATCGCTTTCGTACTTCTGGATCAGCTCGATGAAGTACTGCAGTGGCATCGTGTTCTCAAACTGCAATCCTGCCGGGGTGTCGTGTGTTCTCTGGGCCATATCAGCCTGCTGGATAATGTTGGCCGTTTCGGCTCGCAGCAGTTTGATCGCCGATTGATTGTTCGTTACGCTGTTGGAGATGTCGATCAAACTCCAATTCTGCCGGCTAATCTCCGACGAAACGCTGTACAGCTTCCTGGAGGATGTTCTCGCAATGTCCGAACTGAATGACTTCTGTTTCTTGATGTACTCCTTCAGATGCTCCACGGTGTTGACAATCTCTTGCGGAACCTGGAACTCCTTGGCCTTGGTGTTGTCCGGCTTGCCTTCGACCGATTTAGGTGCCGCCGCATTGATGTCCACCCCACCCAATCCGATGGGTTTTCCCAGGCCAATGGAACTGGTCGTGGCCACAGCGGCCGTAACCGTCGGGGCCGTTGCTGGCCTGGGTGCACCGAATCCACCACCAAAGCCACCACCTAGCGTTAAAGTCGGTGCTGCTGATATACTGGCAGTAGGTGCCGCCGATGCCCCAAAGGACAATCCTGCTCCGAGGATGGGAGCCGCGGCTGCTGCTGCTGGTGTCGCAGCACCGGGTAGTGCGAACCCTGTTGATGTGGTAATCGACGTCGCTGGCGTTGTCGATGTTCCTCCACCGAAGCTAAAAGCCGGAGCCGCAGCGGCTATGGGCGTTGCAAAAGTCGTTGCCGTTGCAGCTGGTTTTGCCAGCGATCCGAATGCTGGAGCTGCAGCAGCTGGAGTTGACACCGCCGCTGACATCGTTGGAGCACTTCCGAATGCGAATCCCGTGGTCGCAGCAGCAGCAGCGGCTGTAGCAACAGCAGTCAGAGCAGGGACAGCTGCGGGAGCTACTGCAGTTGTGGCAGAGGCAGGAGTCCCGAAGGCAAATGCCGGTGCACTCGTCGTTGGCGTTCCAAAACTGAAACCGGACATGGTGACTGCCTTGGTAGTTTCACTAGCCGAAAATCGGGTTTCTATCACTAAACACAAAGAAAATCACAAAAATGTTTGAGAACAGCGCGAATCCGTCGGGCGTCCGCGTTTTGGAATTTACACCATTGATTGACAGTTGGTTGCGTTTTGATGCGGGGTGCAACAAACCCTTCAGAAATGATTCCACCGTTGTTTTTTATGTGTCGTGTGGAGACTTTTTTTTTGACAAGTGCAAAACCAAAACAACACCCGATGTCATCAAAATCAAAGGGTGCAAAAAATAATGAGCGAAGTTGATGATTAGCCTAGTGGGCAAAGCGAAAAAGTGCATTTTTACAGTGAAAATCCAATCGTTTGCGTTTGATTAGTGTTTTTGCATGCCTTCTGCCGAAACTCGAGAGCGTTCAAGATGAATGTGATTCGTGCTGTGCAGTTGTACCTGGAGAAAATGATCACGGAAGCTGGGCCCGGAATGAAAATGCTGATGATGGATCGAGAGACCGTAAGTTTAGTTTTCGTGGGCTGAAGCAGGCAATTTAATGGGGATGGGTGCTGCCGATATGGTAAAATCGGTTGAACCAGGGTAGAACGAACTTTCCATACGGAGCAGCTCCCAGGCCGAACAGCAAGAAGTAAACGAATTTTAAACTCGATCTTCTCTGATTTGCATGAAACTGCATAATTCTAGAGCAACATGTGAAAAGGGTCGATACACGGGAACCTTTTTTACAGTATACCCCCGCTCATCCGGCAAAATTATGGCCGGACTATCGGTGTTTGACTCGCTGATCGACTGTAGGATTAGGAAATTGAATCGATCTTTTTCATTCCGATTTTTCGGATCGATACTTTGTCCACGAAAAGATCGAAAAAATCGATTTTTTCTTTCGATCCTCAGTAAAAAATATGTGTTCAAATTTTTAAGAGCATTTACATCGAAAAAACGATTTACTCTCACCCCAGACTTCGTGTTAAATTTAACAAACATAACGTCAACATCAGCATCACTCCCTATGTTTTGAGCTGGACGACAATGACGTCACTATTTGCATTTTCAATATTTACGAATACAGCAACTTAAATAATAATTATGAACGATGAACATTTCAAATGGTCCTATCTGCTTTGATCGATTCTCTCCATCGACTTTCTCTTTTGATAACCACTACTATGCAAACAGATTTCGTGCTATTTTAACCACATGGTTTGATAAAGGAGATTCTTATCTAGCGTCCAAAACGTCAAATACCACAGGGAAACGTTTTACTTCTGAGTTATCAACGAAAGAGAAAGTCGATGAAGAGAATCAATAAATGCAGATAGGACCTTTTGAAATGTTTATCTAGAATTAATGTATCATTCTGTTTTTCCGTGGCAATCGAAATGAATTGACACACACACATTGACATTGAGCACGTGTGATGTTCATTTCCTCTTTGTATTCGTTTGCTCGTTGTTTTGCGCGCATTTTATTCGAAGTAAAATTTCTGTTCGGTGATTTAATTGACTAAGGTTAACTACCCCATTTTCGGCCCATTAAGCACAACCCGCACTTAGTTTTTCTTAATCTAGCGCAGTTTAACACCAAACGGAATGTTATTATTACTGATGGCTTCCAAATTTATTTACCTTTCCGTACGTACCGTAAGATTTGATAAAGAGAAACCAATCGGTGAGATATTGTCACTTGAAACTGCTTCTTGACGTCAAACTCGGCCTACGAATTCTCGGCCTAACGCATTGAAACGCCAATGAATTCACTTCGGCCTATCGGATGAACATAAAAATGGATTCGGTCGGAGCGCTTCTTTTGTTTTTGGGAATAATGGGTGCAAACCTTTCTATGACGCGTTCTCATTGACTTCGTTCCGTAGCTTATTAACTAAAGTATCGTACCAAACGCATAATTGACTTGTTAACTCTGAAATCAAGGATTTATTTGAAGTTTTCTACTCGAGAGGCCCAAAATGGGCGATTAGGCCGAAGTAGTTCTCTACCCTATTATAAAGGAAAGAATTTCTTGGGGTACCAACGTAAACAAGCGTATCACAAAAAATCAAAAGATCGATCTACCAAAGATCGATTCTTTGGTACCGATTTAATCAGTGGATCGATTCTAGAGCCAAATATAAGATCGATTCATCAAGATCGATCTTTCTCTGAAGATTGCCCAATCCTAATCGACTGTCGAATCCTGCACTGAAAAAAGTTTTCACTTAGTTTCTACACAGCAAAAAAAGTTGTTGAATATTACATCGAAAATGATGCAACCAGGTCAATCCATCGGTTGTGTAATATCACATTGTACGATGTACAGCGATTTGGCGAACAAATTTACATCCATTGATGTAATATTGTATCTGCTTTTTGCTATTACATCATTATTTCATACATCAGCTTGAATTACGTTGATCGATATTACATTTTTTTTTGCTGTGTATTAGGAACGCACATAGTATTTTTCCAAAAACAAAAACAATGATTTTTACCTGAATATCACATAGCATAAGAAATTCTATATGAGAAATCATATAGATTTCATTGTACACATAACGTTCATGTGATTTAGTGGTGCAATTTCCAATTATGGGATCACATGAAAGTTATGTGAAATTCACATGGATATTTTCCACTGGTTATGTGATTAATTTTATGAGTGTGACCTAAAGGCTGGCGCACAACAATGACGTTTATATAAGGTCTGGGCCAAAGGGCTTATTGGTGTTAGTGAAATGTGCAAATGTTTACTGGTACTCGTATTTGATTGCAATGTTTATCTTTTTACACGAAATAGCTGTTGTCAGTGACGTATTTCTATCTGTTCTCAGTATTGTCGCGCTTATGTTAAATTCTCATTTGGTCACGGTCGAAGCGCGATGCAACCAACAATCAATACGAAACTAACGATTTTAAATTGGCTCACCACTTTAGTAGCCTATTGGTCCCAAGCAAACGATTAACGTACCCTATTCTAGTTGACATTCTATTACTACACTATGTTTGTTTTGATTCGCTATGAAAGTTTGACAGATAACATCAGGGGTGTGTGGATTCATGCAGAACATGCAGGGGTGAGTGAAATAGCTTGGGACTGCTTGGGACCGTTGTTCTGGTACTGAGTGAGCCAAAAATAATAATGATTTTCTTCGGGACCCAGTGGTCTTAGAGTTACCTCTATGATGCAACCCCGCCCATAAGGATTATACATAGGTGTGTAAGTTTGATAGTATTTTATGACAGCGGCTTGAGGAGCGAATCCTGGATAAAGAGCCGCCGTGTGTTAAATCAATGGGCGCAGTCGTACGGTCATAAACAAAAAACAGATGGTATAATCCCATTTTGAGAAATTATCCTGCCACACACAATATTTTGGCACTTACGTATTTCTATCTGTTCGCAGATGTTCAGCAATGTTTACAACATTTTTGCTTCTAATACCAGCAAGCTACCTGTTGGCCCAGACCTTATATAAATGCCCTTGGGCGCACAATGCATAAGTTTCCGGGTTTTTGACAGATAATGCATGGGCTAACTGTCAAAAAACCATTGTGCGCCGGCCTTCAGAGGAAGAGACTAATAGCGATTTTTTTTTGATTCAGTTCCAACCTGGATCGGGTATCTAGATTGGGTCGGCTTGTTGTTTGTCAAATGTCACTGTAAACGTTTGTTTTTGTAACCTGGCTCGGGTTGAGGTTCGCACTGACAATAAGCTCGGGTTCGCACGGGTTGGAACTGGTTCCAACCTGCATAATAAACAAATTCGCTATAAGTCTTCTCTGACGTTTGTGAAATGCACAAGTATTAGTGCAGAACTTTGAGTAAATTATAAGTATTAGTGCAAGAAAACCTTTGAATTTACCCAAAGTTCTGCACTAATACTTGTAAAACGTCAGAGAAGTCTGGAGGAGACAACTGGCTTCTGTTTTGTCTATGACCTGTTCTTCTTCTCGCGGAAACGACCGTGCAAAAGCTATTAAATTTTCGTTATGGGCGACGTAGTCGACTGTCGAAATTCAAGAAAATGGATTCCCTGTTGTAAAAATTCCCGCGTTTCGCCCGGCCAATCAGGCGCTGGTTCACGTTTGACATAAAATTGGTTCATAAAAGTCCCCCTATTGTCTCTTCTTCCTCTTTAGGTCGAATCTATAGATATTAGTGACGTTTAACGCACGCACATTAGCGGGTGTATCGCCGTGTAAAGTTTTTTTTTTATTATTTTCCTCTGACTAACCTAAAAATGTATGGAATTATATCTGTCAAAATGAGTTGGACAGCGATTTGTTATGTATTTTCTTGGAACTTCACTAAAACGATCTCACATATCGCACCAATACAACCGGACGTGAAAATTTCAATACTAAAAAAATCAAAACAAACATACAGCATGCGTACCAAATTGTTTATCAAACAATTAAAAAGGCCTCAACTCCATTTTGTAAACAAACCTTGTAAGGCCTTCTTTCTCGCGAACCAAAACCTACATCCGCAAACCAAAATCACAATCGGTTAGATGAGAATTTCCCCTACCTGTTCATTTTGTAAGTTTGCGTTGGCATACTTCGGTTCGCAACAAAATGGCCTTCCAAGGTTTGTTTACAAAATGGAGCTGAGGCCTTTTCAATTAGTCATTTTGTCAAGCTTCGGCATTCATGTGCCATCAGATGTCATTGCTGTTGTTTGCGGTGACATCTATCGGAAACTACACACAATCTGTTTTCCGTTTATTGTTCACAGAGGACACTGCAGTGCAAAACATGTCTAGTACCTCTATATATGCATTTAGATTATTATTCGAAGTCCCTTCTTTTTTACACATTCTGCACACAAAATAGCTCACCCCTCACAGAATTTCCCGCCGAATCCCTAATAAAAAATGTATGGTTAATTTGCTTAACGACGTGTTCTGGGTATCATCCAAATCATTTGTGGAATAGTTCAATGATTTGGGTTATCGTTCGTTTATGGTTATTTTTTATTAGGGATTTTTTGTATGGGGTGGGGCATAAAGTATCTTTTGCGCAGAATATGTAAAAAAGGAGGGACTTCAAATGTTAAAGCAAATGCATATATAGAGGTACCAGACATGTTTTGTATTGACAGGTACTCTATTTTATAATCTGTGAAAGGGAAATCACAAATCGAGTGTCAACAAAATACATGGCATGTTGAGAGATTGAGGTCGTGAGAGCAAATTTTCTCTCTCAAATTTGAATTTTTTGGCTCTCTGGGGAAGTAAAGCAGGTAAAACTGTATGGGGAAAAATCATTTTTATTTAATTGTAGCTTGTTTAACCATAATTTTCGGGAAAAAACTGAACGACAAAGTCCCCGATTAATTTCTTTAGGTTGTCGTTCTCTTTTGTTGATCTGAATATGCACCGAAAGGGAATTATTCCCACTTCAATCAATTTCTATATGGGGATTTTTATTATGGTCGAACAAAATGATTAATTGTTGGTCTTGCAAAGACGTTTATATAAAGGACATTGCATACGTACAGCAC